AATCCATTGCCCCTTGTCCTATCACTACATGCCCTTGGAAAAAGCTTTCCCTCTCCAGCTTTCCTGTAGGCCCCCTTTAAGTACTGGAAGGCTGCGATAAGATCCCCCTGGAGCCTTCTCTTCTCCAGGCTGAACAGCCCCAACTCTCTCAGCCTGTCAGATGGAAAGCTGCTGCCTCAAATGGACATAGTGTGGACTGCTAATATAATTACCATTTCATTATCTGGGTCTAACTGGCAAATCTGTATCACTTGGTTTTAAAATAGAGGGAGGTAGATTCAGGTTGGATATTAGGAAAAAATTTTTTACCATGAGAGTTGTAGAACACTGGAACAGGTTGCCCAGAGAGGTGGTGGATGCTCCATCCCTGGAGACGTTCAAGGCCCGGTTGGATGAGGCCCTGAGCAACCTGATCTAGTTGGAGATATCCCTGTTCCTTGCAGGGGGGTTGGACTAGATGACCTTTGAAGGTCCCTTCCAGCCCTAACGATTCTATGATTCTATGATTCTATAAATAATGTGGTATATTGTCCTTTTCTCACCAGACAAAGCCAAAATCATGGGATCAGTGTGTTAATTTATATTTCATTTTGTCCATTGTGCTTTGGCAGTACACATTTTAGAAGATAAAGTTTCGTTTAATTCTGATTCGATAAAAGAGTAGCCTTAAAGCCAAAACCGATGTGTGACCTGAGACTTTTTTCTGTTCATTCACTTACTGCTTTCAGAGTCTACTCAAGTTTGAGTATTTTGATTTTATTTTGGGGTTTCTTTTTCTTTATGTACATTTATCACTTTTTGTTTCTTTGCTTGTTTCCATTCTGGAAAATGAAACACTCTATTTGGGGACCTCTGGGTTTCACCAGGAGTGTGAGAACTTTATTTGTATGGCTCCTTGTTTCCTGTGTACTTGTATCCCTTCCTTTTGTATGTAGCAGCTAGTATGTGATTGATTTTTATCTCTGTAAAAGAGTTCTGCTAAGTAAAAGGCTAATAGTCGCTTCATTGTTTCTTATGAAAAGTTAAAATCAGTAGAAGGAGGAGAGGATCATGGTGCTGTTGAGGGGTTTATTTAATTGTTAAAATTTAGGCATGTTGCTTGATGTTTCTTGGGACAGATTGCTGCCAAATGAGTGCATATGTTTAGAGGACTTTGTTCTTTTTATTATGTGTTTACTTATACTTAGATACTGTTCTGTGGAGCGATTCGCATGTGACACCTATTTCATGTATCTGATTGCCATCTTTTCAGCAGTTACTTGCTTCGTTAGCGTTGCTGCTCACACATTACACCATTTAGCATTTGAGATCTTTGGGATGTCCTTCCATTTGCTTCACTTCGGAATGTATTCGCAACATACTGAATGTTCTTGAGTAACTGGAGTTGATGATAGTACATGTGGATGGTATTTCATATGATGGGTATTAATGTGGTCATAGATTAATAGGAATTCTGATCAGTGTGTAGAAAATTGAAGTTATAATCTCTGATTAAAGGCTAGAGATTCTGTTTCAATTTTAGTCAAAAAAGCCTGCTGCTGCATCTGATCTTCCTGAACGCCATCTGCTCAATAAACCATCCATCCTTCGAAATGTTAAAGTGCCGAAATCTATACTGAAGGATGCTGAAAGGATTTTGAGAGGAGTTCAAAACAATAAAAAAGTTCTCGAAGAAAATTTGGAAGCTGTTATTCGTGCAAAAGATGGAGATGCTTTTATTAATGCCATAACTACAAACAGGTTAGACCCTATAATTCAGTGCTTTGTGTGACTACTCATTGTATGTGTTCGCCTTTTACCGCCTCTCTCTCAATTTTTTTAATTGTGTGTGTTAAAGAACTAGTGCACTTCCCTGCAAAAAGTTATTTATTGACTCTCCTTAGCAATCATTAGATGATTCTCTTGAACTACCAATGTTTTTTGGTCCTCTTGATGTGAATTGAATTTTTTGACAGGTACCTGTTACTTCTTGGTAAATCCGAATTCTGAGGCTGTATCATCTGGACAAACCGCTCTGCTGTCATGACAAGGCAGCACTTAGTTTTACAGACAGGCTCACTTTAGTAGGAAAATTAAAGAGTAATTTTGTCATTCAGAGCAGAAGAGGCTTAATAAGCCTGTGTGTGTTACAGAATTAGTCATCCTACAGCGGATGGCTTTTGAACTTTTGCTTCGTTAGTTGTGTTAAATACTCCTGCTTGAATCTATGAAAGTTTTCCTATGAAAATACAACTTAATCTTGCAAAGCAACTATTCTCTTCATGTAAAGATTTTTTTTTTTTCAGGCATGATGTCTGCTGTTATTATCTTTTAGAGGAAGTAGTAATTTTTGTCATCTGCTTTTCGTGATTTGAGTTGGAATATTTTTGTTGCCTTGTTATTTCAGTTTTTGATCAAAATAGGAACTGACACATGGCTGCCACTTATTTGTAGATGTTTGTAATACTGTTAGTACGTACCAGTGGGGGATGAAATTTGCAGGTGGCCTTGTCTAAGAGCAGATTTAGATTTGGGAAACTCAGCTAGGCTGTGCTTAGTGCCTTTTGGAGACTGTAGAGGTACCTAATCTTACCGTCTGTGTTCTGGGTTTCTCTTTTTATGGTGTTTATAGGTCACTGCTTTCCCAGGAACAAATCTGTGCAATTTAAGAAGCACTGACCTAAAATAGTTCTTCTATTTCAGAGATGTATTGGAAGAGATTCGTATCAGAAAGACTGTGGATGAGTGGATTAAGGCAATCAGTGTAGAAATCCAGGTATGGCTGGAAAAAATGAGTTCAGGACTTTGCGTTACATTTTTCCACCTTACATTGTTCTTTCATGTCAATAGTTAAACATGATTCGTTTACAACTGGAAAACATGAGAAAACTGCTTGTTATTACTACCATGTAGTATGCTATAAGAAAATATTTACCTCTCTTTTTAAACTTTCATTGTTTAATGAAAATCACTGGTCACAGTTGCTGGCTAACATGAAAAATAGGCCACTTCTCAGAACTTCAAAGTTATCCACAGACTGATATATATATCACAGGCTTCTGATAGCCTTGAAGATAAAAATCTCCTTTTATTACATTTATGTTTTATCTTCAGGCTGAAATGGCAAGAAATGATTTGGAACAAGTGAAATATGATCAAAAGGTCCCATGGATCAAGAGAACCCAAAGCATCAAGGCTATGAAGACCAATAAAGAAATTAAAGCAAAAACTCAAAAAATCCAAGGATGCTTGACAAAGAAACCTTTATCCGCAGCTAAGCCATTGCAGAAGCAAGCAGAAGATAACATGAGCAAACGGAACTTTAGGACTCACTTTTCTGAAAGTTTGCAGAGGAAAGAAAAAAGGGCAGATGTGAGTTCCCAAGTAGCTGGTTTCCTTTTTGGTGATGACTGCTCTGCTTTAGATTGCTGTATTCGTGTGAAAAATTGTTTGTATGGGTAACTGTAATCATTTTAAATGAAAGTGATAGCCCTGCCCTGTGGATTTCTGTTGTCAGAATTGTCCTTGTTTTCATGTGCTGTGGAAGCCTAAGCTAAGTGTGTATAACAGCATAGAATTCGTTGTCGTGTTATGAATTTGTCTTACCCAGTACTTGCTGTTTTATTCAGCTGTTAGTAAGTTTCTTATGTGTTCTATATGCATACATTTCCGTGTGTGCATGCAATGTGCACTGCTTGTCGCAGAACTTCTTACTTTTTTTCCTCTAAATTTCTGCAACCCTATTGATGTGTTCAAATTATCATACATGAAGAATTGTAAACTACTTTTTTCTGTGTGTGTGT